ATGATAATTGACAACCCACATCATTTCCAGCCTGTTTTATCGTCCAAAAATCTAGCAGTATCAGGACAAAACCCGCACCCCTTGACTCACAAGGCAACAAACGTCTTCAAAACATTCCTTCAGTGCCACACCATCATGGGTTCTTTTCAGTTAGGATGCAGTGTCCATCTTATTAGAAAAACAAGTAAGCAGCATTTCACTTTATATACTCATTTATTACTGCTGAAACATTAGTCATTTCAGCAGAATGTGCATCCTCGTGCCGTAAACTAATAGTATCAGAGTAAAAGGTTGTTTTAAAGTTGTTCTCATTTTCTTTGCGTTTGTGAACCAACTTTTCAGAAACTGAATTTCTTAAATAATCGACCAGTGGAATAGTAGCTAACTTCTGCCTAGATACACCCCTTTTGATTAAAGGTGTTAACCAAGATATTGCCTCTTCAGTCCGATCTAACTTGAGTAATCCATCAATTATCAGCTCATACATAGATGTATCAGCAATCAATTCTCTCTTCTCCATCAATCTAAGTACGCTAACAGCTTCCTCTATCATTCCAGCCTTGAAGTAAAAGTAAATTAAAATGTCCAACATACTTCCATCCAACTTAACTCCCTGACCCAACATTTTATCTACGAGCTCTTTCGCTGCACTTACCTGTCCTTTATCACAAAGACCTTTTACCAGAACTGAATATGTATCACCATTAGGGCAGATGACTTTCTCAATCATCTACCTGAACAATGAAAGTGCCCTTTCCATATTCCCTAGCCTGCAATATCCCTTAATCATCAAATTATACAAATGGATATCCACTTTAAAACCCTTGACATACATTTCCAAAATCAATCTCTCGGCATCATCAATCTTCCCACTACTTAAAAATCCATCCACCAAAAATTTGTAAGTCTCAACATTTAAGTCAACTCGTTCCCTTTTCATCAAGGCCAAAGTGTAGTTCATTTCTTCGAAATTCCATCTCCTAGCACAAGCATCCACCAAGGTATTACATGTAATAATATTAGGCTTCACCCCTTTAGATAACATTTCCTCCACCAATTCTCCAGCCTTCTTTATCTCCCCTCTCCTACACAATCCATCTACCACTACCGTCAACGAAAATATTGAAACCTGAATACCTGATTCAACCATTTGATAAAAGAATACCAGCGCTAACGCGATCTAATCACACTTCAAAAGATTAATCAAATGAACAGTACATGTTCTCTTATTAATCTCAATTGCATTTAGTTTCATATACATGAAAATCTCCAAAGCCTGGTTGAATTTTGCGTTATCAGATAAAGCTTTAAGAAGCAAATTGAATATTTTTGAAGCAAACTTTGATTGAACATTGTGCTTCTCAAAGAAAGAAGCTACAACAGCAAAAGGGAACCTAAAAATTTTCAATTCTTTAAGCATCAAAGAAGGAACGAAACAATATTGATTATCAAATCAAAAAAGAAAAACTAGCTTTAACAGTAAAAGGGTACCTGAAAGTTTCAATATTTGGGACTAAAACTAAAAGGGTCTCAGCATATTCAAAGTATCCTTCTTTGACAAGCCTACAAGCAAGTGTCAAGTGGGTTTCAACACCAATCTTGAAAGTAATGAAAGATTGATTAAGCAAAAGGAAATTGAAGAAGTGGAGGCATTTAGGTGTGTTGATATGTGGGTCAGATAAAATAAGATGAATCAAATTGGGAGTGAGGTTGGAGAGAAGAGTAGAGGGTGCAATGACTATGGGGTTTAACACTGCATTGATTATGGTGTCTGCAATTTTTGCTCTATGATGAAGATGGGGATTTGGGATTTGCCATTTTTTCAGAGTTCTTAGGTTTTGGAGTACCTTTTTGACTGACATTCTTTGGATTGGGAGGAGAAAATCAATGTATTGGTTAGGGGCTTTTTAGCTGAAGTAGGACATTACTCGGCTTCAAATTCTCACAC